TAAATAAGTAGATTTAAAATTTCTGAAAAAAAAATTTTTTTTGTAATTAATATTTACTAAACTTTATAATCTTACATACTAAACATTATTATTATCACTGAACATTATGATTATTTACCCAAAAAAAACTTGATATTCTTTGTTGAAAAATGCATCAAAATGGAACGCATTTTCCCCGCTTTACGGATAAAAAATTTGGCAATGGAAATTCCTTGACATGTTTATTATTTTTCTTTCAAGCAAATGTAACTGCGGTTGAGGCGGATGTTTTAGTCGTCACTACTTCAAATTTTCACTACCAATTTTCTTTTCTTTTCCGAGATGATTACAGGCCTTTAACCTTCTGATTTTTGATAAAATTTTTATTGATACAAAATCGAAAAATAATATTTTTTTTTAAAAAAAGGAAGAAAATATAAATAAAAAGAGTGGATTATCAAACTCAGTAGCTATTTCTCATTGTGCATTTTTTTTTACTTAGAAGTTTATAATTTTATAAAAATAAATAAGGAAATAGATCATTTTGTTAATTAAATATACAGTTATATTAATTTTATGAAAGAACATTTTGTTAATATACTAATCATGGCAAAATGAAAGCCAAATGCAATGCACCAACGTTTATAAAATTATTTTCTCAATTTTTCTACACTTAAATAACATTTTTCATAATAATTACTTCCTTTTTTAAAAATTTTTATCTTGAACTTAATAACCTAAAAAATTAAAATATATTTACTTTCGGGTACTTATATTTTTCGATTTTTTTTCCGGGTAGTTATATTTTTAAGCACAAATTGATATTTATATCTAAAATGAGAGCACCCGCCTCCTCTTTGTCTCTCTTAAAAATTATGAAGATTTTACAGACAGACAATTCTTTAATATGAAGAGTTTAGGGACTGGAGAATAAAGCTGTTTATATTCATAAATGCAAGATAATCTTTGAAATAATTGAAGATCGTAATGGAACCACATTGCTAAAATTCATCTTAACCATATTTAATTAAACATAAAAATCTTTTGATGATGAAGACCGTTTCTTTCTCTCTCATAGGACAGAAATATCACATGACATGATCCAGATTTGCATCACTCTCATTAGCATACATTAAATAAAAGTCATAACTGTATTTATCTGTAAATAGTTCATGTAATAATTACTTCAAGGTATTTACTAGTAATATTTCTTTCTTTCTTTCTTATCAGTGTTATTTTCTGACTTTTGATTTTGATTAATATTTATAATTAAAAGTTTAAAATTAAGGGTGCTGCCGTTTGATAAATTAAAATAATTGCGTAATATTACATTGTGTAGAAACTTTTTATGATAATTGGGTATAATATAAAAAAAACACAACTACTTCCACTTAGTAGGAATAACATTTACCATGACGCAATGCTAAATTCTATGCCACTATAAGTCAATTATTAATCAAAAATCGAATATCAATTACTTTTCTTTATAATGCAATAAAATCTGGCGAGCAGCTATTTAAACGATCAAACACTTCGTTTGTTTATTTGTGGCTTGAAGTTAGGCTCGCAGAAAATGCCGTTCATGGGTTAAATTTAGTAGGAATAACACAACCTGTGACGTAGGCTATAGTATACCCAATTAAGTCTTATATTTATCCACCGTTTCACAATTGTTGAGAGTCAATTAAATTAGATTTGTTATTTTATTATATATATTTTAAATTTTAAAGAAATATTAAAAATATTTACCTTTTAACATTATTTGCTAGATAATCTCTTGCTTAAGGCTATTATACTAGGATTCTAATTCAGGGGCTCTATCTTTGCCATAAAATATTAAGTGTATAAACAGTAAAACTGTAACGTTGGAATGTAATATCGGTGCAAATTTGTAGAAAGCCCAGAAATTGAGGATAACATAAGCATTGAGCAAAGGAGGATCGAATCACGTTCTTCACGAGAGACTATTCTATACTTTTTAAAACTAACAAAAAGATAAATTTTGATTTTTGATATTTTGCTAGATTTACGCCGGATTGTGATGTTTTCTTTTGCCTTTCATTTTTTATATTTTGATGAATGTCGTTTTGTCTAAACTTTTTCATCTTCAATTATTTAGTTGAGTTTTTTTGTCCCCAATAGAATCGGTGGTTACACTATATTCTGAGAAGGCTCCTTGGATTATTACCAAGTAAATCGCCATAACGAACCATGTTGTTTCATTTATGGGTAATCCGCACTGAAACGTCTAAATAATTAAGGTAAGTCGATATTTAATTTTTTCATTCGCATATTACATAATATGCATTTCCACGATTTTGGAAATACGTTATTTCCTTGCTTAGTTTTGATACAATGTGCATTTTATTCGGATTATAATTTGTTTTCGGCGCCATTTTATTTGGCAGTCTAAAGCATGTAAACACATGAAAATGATAGCGAAACAATCGTGTGAGTGAGGTGAGCGAAGTGACCAGGAGGAGCCCGTTTTCTCATATTTAAGAAGAAAAAAGAAAAGAGTAGAATAATATAGTCGTATTAAAATCATTCGGGTAGACTATATTTGAGGGTGCCCCTTGATTCTCGCCAAGTTGTGATGGCGGTTGATCGCCAAACTGGGCGATGTTGAAACCCAATCGTGATTCTGATTGGTTTAGATTTTAGCGTTATTTTTAAATTTTCAAATGTATATGTAATTTCAGAGGTTCGTTAGTTCTACGTTGGATACAGGCTAGTTACGTTACTTTTGATTGAAGGTATATGGGCAGTCATAAAAAGGGACTTTAGAAAAATGTCACCGCTAGTCCGGTATTACCGACGCCATTTTTGATTCGTATTTTGCCGAATTTATGTGACGATGGAGATACACAGATTCCATTCGTGATAAATTTAGACAGTATCTAACTGTTATTAGAAAATTCTGCGCACCTAAATCAGAGAATATTCAAGCTTAATAAAGAAGTGAATTATTCTTTTCCTTTTCCCTCTGGGCTCTTACTCCATTAATTTTTGTTTCGATCCAAAATGCATTTTATTGTGTTTATTAATTTAATTATATTGGGTTCATTGCAAGTTTTGGCCGCAAAGTTTGGCCGCATTGCAATGTTTTATTGAAATATCATTATGTTTTGTCCGCTATTCCTGTTACCACGGTGTTCCGTGCAAACAGGAATGGAGCCAAACATAAGTGACCAATTTCGCCAAGGGGCACCCTCAAGTATATCCCCCCCCCCAAAAAAAAAACGTGAGTATTCAGTTTTCTAAACTGGCAACAGTAGAGTCATCTTTTATAATTCCTTTCGTTAGGTTACCTTAAGGAATAATTTAAGTTGTGTTGATTAATTAACTGTAGGTTAAGTATTTATTAAATTCATTTCATTTAGTTTTATATGATAGTTTAAGTAGTGTTAAATAGTTATAAGTTATATTTATGTATTTCTTTAGAACAATTTTGTATTTTTGTAAAATAAAAATAGCTACGAAGCATTTATTTTGTTTTATTTTTGTTCTTTTCTAAAATGGCTGAAGAGATACTAAACATAAAGTGTACTATGATATCGCACACTGTCATAACAATTAATGGTGACGAAGCTAGATTTTTTTCGAACAATAACCTTGCTCAAGTTATGGCTTGAACGGAGCGGGATGAAGTAGTACAGCTCATAATGGAGCATTGAGATCAGTTTTCTATTTTATTTCACGATAGAGAAGGAAATATTTTTGTTGCTTACTAATGAAACGTTCCTAACTCATAGTTATGGTGATTGGTGTGATTTAATGGCTGCTGGACAGATTTGAAATTATTACTAAAATTCAATGCAGAAAGAACTTTGACTATACCGCGGACATCTCTTGTAAATAGTTGAAATTAAAATTTTAAGTACTTTCGCTGCTTAAGCCGTGATCTAATTTCTTAGATCTACCGAATGCACAAAATTATTTGAATTTACATTAAAATAGAAAATACTAGTCAGTAATTTTTTTTAACCCATGTAACATTTTTCAAAATATTTTATGTTCAATTTTGAATTATAATTTAATAACTCAAACAAAAGATTTATATTTGCACCAAAACATTTCTTATCATAAAGATATCAATGGCCAAGTTGTAATTTTTTAATAATATATTTTCTATGAACTTCTATGCATTATTTAACGCATATATACATATTTTTTTATGTAAATTACTACATTAAATATCGCAAGGTCATTTGAAAATTACTAAATACCTTTTAAAACTTTTCGTTTTGTTTTTTAAAAACCGCAAAATTGTTGAATGCAAATAAGGTATTTTTAATAAATAATTAAAAAAACAAATATTTTATTTTATAAGTTCTAAGAATATCATAATTAAAAGAAAGATTGATCCGTGATGTCATCGATACAATGAAATATGACAAATAAATAAATAAATACATGGAAATGGTTAATGCTAAATTTATATCAAACACTATTTTTAGAACCATCCTAAAAAATGGAACTTGGAATACTCATGGTTCATAATAAATTTATTCTTATGTAACATTTTAATTCAATTTCTCCTTCGTCAATGAAAATCCAGGAATGCAAGGATAGCATTCATGCGATCCTGCATTTTCATAATCGTGCATTTTGTATAAACTGCATATGAAAGAAGTACACTTTTCTCTTACAACTGATTTAATACCGATTTATGCACTTAAATTTTTTTTCGAAGTTCAGAAATGAATAAGTCCCGTCGAACAGAACATAAGGGGAACAAAATTCGAAAAAAAAAAAAAAAAAAAAATGATAATCAAACTCATTTTTCTTTCTATTTGCTTTTCGAAACGAAAAAGCAGGATGCATTATCGAAATCAATTGACAACATCAAAGAAGCAAAACAAAACGAAAATAGAGGAAAATGAATCGGCAAGACATCTAAAAATGTCAATTCTCACGGGGCAAAATACCGAAACTTGCGCAGTTCTAATAACGACGGCTAGATGGCGCCATAGATACTATCTCTTCTCCCTCTAACAGTCACCCAGCGGTATCTGTTCGCTCTCCGCATCTTTTCTTCTACAACCTCTCTCATTCGTAGAAAGGAGTGTGCGAGTTAGTTTTGCCCCAATCGCTCTCCGCTCTCTCAAATCGAGCAATTTTATTTATAAAAATAAGAAGGGAAAAAAATGTCCCAGGCGCATCAGCTCTTACCCATATTTGTGACAGATATGAGCTTTCTCTTGGATTTTTTGTGGAAGAAATTGTGAAATGTGTATTTGTGGAATATAAACAATTTTTTTATTTCAAAATAAATAAATTAATAAAAATTTAAAATAGTGCTTAAATAGTGTTGTGCAACCAAATGGAAAGGGATACGACTATAAACCTCCTAGTGCTATTTTTTGTTCTGTGCGCTGTGTCCTTCCCCTGCTGGGGGTCTGCGTCCCCTATTACAAATAATATAGGTGGTGCTGGAAATGCGACAGAAATTACAGGTAATTTTTTTTCTGAAGTGATCTAATAAGTTCATAAAGTGTTATCCTGATACAGTATATTTGATATTCATATAGTTTTGTTCATTATATAATGTTCGATTATATAACGTTATATAATACAACCCTGTTTTTTTCCGGTTTATTAAACTTCATTTGTGCAGTTAACTACACTTTTTAATTATGAAAAAAATGAAATTGTTCACTTTTCACAGGTTGGAATCCAAAGTTTATGTTTTAATTTTAATTTTTAAAAATTAAATTAAAATTCACTGTGATTCAAAACCTAACATATAATTTTTCTACATAAGATTAAATTTATTAGTATTAATATAGTTACGTCCGTTACAAAATGTTACATTACATAACGTAATATTATGTAACTCATTTTTTTTTCGATAATTAAAACAAGTTTAAGCAGTTAACTACTGTTTAGTTTGTAAAAAAAATTTAAAATTGTTCACTTTCACCGATAGGGACTCCGAAGTTTTAATTTGAAGCATTTAAAATTAAATTAAAATGTTCCGTAGCTTTACAAATCATTCACATTTTCATTAGTTATATTAATCTTTAATAACAAGAACTTGTCAAGAATTTATTTAACAATTAAATTTATTTATTATCAATCAAAATAAAAAAAAATTCTAATTAACATGAAATTTTTTAGTTGACATAGATTCTTAGTTGGTATAAATTCTTAACTACAAAGCCTATTTCAGGTTCATTGATATATTACGTTTTTGTACCATAATATTTGAAAATTGATCACTCAGTTACAAATTTATCTACTATCCTTAAAATATTCTATAAAATAAAACCATAAAATGATCGAAAGGATTGATCGATCAATTTTTGGTATCATTATAAATAATATTACAATGACAAAAGAAGATTCATTAAACCTTTTTGGGCTAAGCATAGAAATTTTATAAAAATGTCATATTATTTTCATTGAACGTTTCATTGAACGTATTGAATTGTTTAAGTAAAATTCATTACGATGCGAAAAAAATATTTTGTGCGTAAGAAAAAATACTTTATTTGAGAAATAAAAAGGTACGTACATGCACCATTGACCAAATCAATGGAAAAACCATTTAGTTGAACATTTTTTTTTAATGAAATTAGTTTTAATTTAATTTTATTTACCATAGAAACAAATGATTAATTACAAGAGGGATAATTATACATTTTCAAAAAATCGTATTTCTTAAAAACCTTTTAAAATTAAAAAAAAAAAAAAAAAAAAAAAAAAACTAACGTATTTTAAAAATTTCTGAACGTGAAAGTTTGCATTTAATGGTGCTTTTACGAATCCTTGGCCGAAAATGGGTAAAATGTAAAAGGGGGAGTATGTTGCCTTAGCATTATATCTTCTTTTGTCATCGTTACTTTAACCAAATTCACTTGAACACTTATGAGTTTTCTTGTCTCCATGTTTCTCAACTTTTCGTATTTCTTTTGGGAAAAGGTCGGGAATTCGGCCTGGGTCGGAAGATGTAAGAGTTATGTACAGAACGTTTAGGAGGTATTAAATCTCATGATTCGAAAACAAGCTATGCCTAATCAAATATTTTTGTTCTTTTAAGTAAATAGAGAAAGGGTCAGTTTGTTGGTTATGATGACAGTTTGCACTTTACCATTTTCTTCAACATAGCAATTCTAATTTTTCAATGCAGTAACTAGTGTTGTTACATTTTATTTATTTATTTATTTTATTTTACATTTTGGCATCAAAACAGGAGTGTGTAAATCTGTTTTTATTTTGTTCTGGTTTTTCTGTCTGGTAATTTTGGCTCCTATCTGGCACATATATATCGGGTTTTGGCGCGCTAACCTTAGTCTAATCTTATCTAATATAATACATGAAAAATAGGTTTATATCATTCTATTTTCTTCAAAAAGGATGTTTCCTTTACCCATGAGTATTAATTAAAGCGTTTCAGTTGTAAAATGAATTCTGTTGAGTTTTGTGTCATCAGATAAAGTTAAAATACGTTAGGATTTAGTTTGATAAAATATAACATCAATTTAACAAAATACACTTTTGAAGATTTCTGATATCTATAGAGTTAAACAGTACTAACAGTCGGTATTTATTACTTCTGATAGGCATTAATTATTTCTTGTAGGAGTCCTTAATTATTTCTGATATCTGTGTCAAAGTAATTATTTTCTGATAGTTTCGTCAAAAAGATAGTAATTAAAAATTTTTTAAGCGAAGTTTTAGATGAGTAAAATTAATAATTATTTTCACTTAAGAAAATTGCGATGAACTAATTTAGTGACATGTACAGTAAGAATTTGAGTGAAACTTTTCAGTACTATGTATGCTGAGAATAGTAAGTGAGTGTTATAAATCTCAATACGTATTGCAATAACGACCAGAAAAATATTTCATTCCTGAGAATTTACTCCCGTAAAAGTACCTTATGTAAAAATTTATTATAGAAATTGGGGATTCTTATTTTTAATTGTCATTGTTATTTGAAATACACAAGTTTCTGGTATTAAATATTAAAATTATTAAAAATAACACTAAAAAATATATTGTTTTGCCATTTTTGCATCGCTTTAATGATATAAAATGATATAAAAATGCATATATGATATAAAATAACATGTGTGATATAAAAATTATATGATATAAGAATGAAGATATTATATTTCAATAGTATTGCTATAGTTTTTTTTAAAAAATGTTTAAGTTTTTCACCAAGTTTTTCTTGCTTCTCCCATTCCATGATTTGTTTGAGAAAATTTCTATAACGTTATTTCATTACGTTATATATTTCTTTCATCCTCTTTGTCTTCAATGGCTCAACAGCCCAGGGTGGGTCTTGGGCCTTCTCAAGAAGTTTTTTCCAAGCACACCATTTTTTTTTAGGCTTTTAAAATATAAATTGCTACATTTAAATGAAAACTCTTAACATAAATACGATAACTATTAACTCCAAAATTATGAGAAATTTATAATTTAAGGCTTGTATTGAACACAAAAAGTAAAAAATAGTTTTTATTTTTTAAGAGTTAAAATATTTTAACATCAGCATTAAATTTCTAATTATTTTCAAAGTTAAATGAAAATAATCTTCAAAATTAAAACTAGAAAATACCTTGCTAATATATTTTCTTAAATATTTTATTGAAAAATTAAATACCTGCTTACTTGTTGAATATTAATAAACTTTTTTAAAAAAAGTACTTCTAAGTCACGTTACTTAAAAATGATGAACTTTTTTTTCATCCTCAAGTTAAATATTTTCAAAATTTTTAAAGAAATTGTTTTAATAAGATTTTAAAACGTGATATTTTGTCTTATACATTTTAACTCGTACTATTATTTTTATTTCATGGAGTACTTTTTTTCATGAAATTAATATAAGGCACGTAGACAATTTAATTAAGAGAAAATGTTTTTTTTAAAAACCTAGTGACAGCAATTATTTTTGTACTTATTTTCTCAAAAATAACTTTTGATTTATGCTATTTTTTGTGGACTCTCTTAATTTAATTTTCAATTTCTTAAAATGCAATTTGCTTAATAGGTTAAAAAAAATAAGTACGTATTGTGTGGTCATAAGTCAGAAGAAATAACTTGCGGCTCAAAATAATGGATTGCATGTTTGAAATCATCCGCATTTTATTCACAAATAAAATATAATAATTATCAAAAATTGTATGCGAACTTTTGCCTTATCGGCTTTGTCAGTCTGCTGTTTTAGTTGATTTATGAAAAAGTAAAGCAACGTGAATGTTTGCTTATCGGATAGACGTATCTTAAATTAGTGTATTGGATAGCGTAAATTCTAAAAATTTTATTATCATTTGAATTTTATAGTATTTTATTTTTATAATAACCGCGCTATTTATTCTTCTACATAAAAAATTGGATAGATAAGTTTGCCTTTCTTTTTTTTTTTTTTGCTTAAATATATTTCCCTTTCAGAGAGCAATATTTTTTTTTTGTGTAAATTGATACCATATGAACGGGAAAATGCCAAATAAAGATTTTAAATACCTTATATTTTGTTTCATTAACCATAATTTTTGTATTTTCTTACGAGAAATGTCATTACCGTACAAGCAAAACAAAACGAAAATAGAG